AGGTTGGAAAGACCTCTAAGATCATCAAGTGCAACCCCAACCCATCCCACCGTGCCCACTGACCTTATCCCTCAGTGCCACATCTCCAGGGTTCTGGAACACCTCCATGTGACCCCAGCACTGCTGGACAGCCGGTGCCAATACCTCACCATTACCTCATTTGTTTGGTACATTGGGATGCTCCTGCTCTGGGTGGAGAGCTAGCAGTGATGGTCTCTGGACATCTTGTCCAGACTTGTTTTCCTCTGACTCCATGACATAAGACAATAGGCAGCTTAGAAACTGGCATCAACGCAACTTCTCCAAAAGAAGAGTTCTGTGTCTAACCACCCGGAGGAAAAGCTGAAGTGAGACAGCGTGTGCCTGCCAATGGGCAGCATTTCAGGGTCAGCTTTCAGCTCTGTGTATCCATGCATTTGCCATTTGCTTCAGAAGGAACATCATTTGTCTCAAAGCTATCCTTGCTGTTCACTGCAGATGTCTGAAAATCTCTAGGTGTACCCTAACACCTTGGCTCACCAATGCTGACTGGATGAGATGGGCTTTCTCTGTGCCTCCTAAATTGTATGCCATGGTTCAGGCTGGGCTGCCAAATGGCTGCACCAAATGAAAGCACAAACAAGAGATCTGGGAAAGAGAGTGATACTCAATCCATGTGGATCCACCAGATTTACTCTTCCCTGCCATGTGCTGACCCCATTTGGTAAGGGACAGGACACTGTGTCACAAGGCAAAAAGGGAGACTTTTGAGGCTGACTTCCCAAGACAATGCTGGTTTGCTTTTTTGTTTTGTTTTGTTTGTTTGTTTTTGTTTTAAATGGTGAAATGCAGTGCCTTTTATTCCTAACCAACCATCAGACAGTTGGAGACTGTACTCCATAGTGAGCAGATAGCTGAGTTCTTACTCTTTGTTTGTGTGGGGTCTTGCAAATAATACCCTAAGTGCCCTGTTTGTTTTCTTGCTGCAAAGTGACATTTATCTTTGAAGGAAAAAAAAAAAAACAACACAAAACAAAGACAAATAGAGAATAACTCAGAGCAAACAGTAGAAAACATTTCCTAACAATGAGGGCTGGAGGACTCTGTCTTCCATGCAAAAACAACCACAAGAGCAAGCTGCACCTTGGCTGTGTTAAGGAAACACGGGCTGCTCTCTGCCTCTGCACTAGGAGGAAAACAGAGCAGGAGGAAGAGCTTCCAACCCTCTTATAAAACCAGATTTAATATGATTGGATCTGATACCTGATACATCCAAGTGCAGGAGCCCTTGGCAGCTGTGTGTGCAGTTAAGAGCAGGGGTCTGAGGCTGGTGGTGAAGCTGAAGACCCGTAGTAGGTAGCTTTGCACAGCAGCCTTGTGGCCAGATGGGCTCTGGGGTGGGGGTCCAAGCAGAGCCCAAACAGAGAGGAAATGGGCTTGGCAGATGAGGCAGGCATGGGGCTAATGGCTCTGCGACGGATGGGGCAGGCTGCAGCACACTGAAGACCCATTAGACTGAAACTGGAGCACTGGGGAGGATGCATCTCACTGATTGAGGTCTGGGCTTACTGGATAAGAGCAGGCTGCTGTACAGCACAGCTTTCGGAGTGGATGAAAAAAAAAAACAAACAAAACCAAAGATTTGCATTGAACAGATAGTTCAGAGAAAAGACCTGGGTGGGAACGTGCTTGTTGTCTGATAGCATTCAGTGTCCTAAATGGCCTGGAGCAGACCATACAGTTTCTATGTCTAAAACACATTCCAGGAAAAGAGACTTTTTATGATGCACTAATAGGCTCATTAGGATTTCTTGAGCTAGGCATGCTCACGGCATCGTATGTTTTTTCCATTACAGGAATTACACGTGTTTTGTTGTGCTTTGGGTTTTGTTTTGTTTTCCACCTAGACTTGCCCTGACAATTCCCCCCCCATTCAGGTTTATATTGGAGGTACCATCTCGAGCCAGTGAATTTGATGAAATATGTTGCTGGCACTCACAGAGAGATGCATAAAGGAAATATTCTAATGACAGTTAGAAAGGCTTTGATCCCCTTCCAAGACTGCACTCATGTCTTTGAAATGCAAGTTTGGCAGTGTTGGAAAGGCTGGGCTCTTTGGCTCTCTTTGGCACAAGCCCATGTGACAGACATTATGTCCTCTATCAGGGGACCCACATAACCTTGAGAAGTGTAAGCAGTGCTCACAAGTTGCGTTGGGTCAGATAGTCTGGGCTGATAACAAAGCAGCCACAGCAGCAGGGGGGAGTCAGCCCAGTCCAACACAATAACTGAAAGCTGTTCTGACCTGGTAACTGTTGGGTCTGCTGCCTGCGGCTGCGAAGTTGGACATGAACTGCAAAAGTAGTTAATTTATGCCTCCTTGAGTATAGGAATGTGGTGATGATGGATAGGGATGGGAGGTTATTAGAAACATGGGGAGGAAGGAGAAGATGGAATTCCAGCTCATGTTTTTATCTCTTACACACACATACGTTCCTCTGCATACATATCCTTGGCTGGCTTACATGTGTGCACAGTCCAAAGCCTTGCTTCCACTCACACCTCCATTCATGCACGCACATGCAGGCACATGTTCACACGCTTGCAAGGGATTTGCCTGAGATAAATGCTTTAGCATGTTTGCGTGCTGGGGGTTGCAGGGTGCTGTTACAAGGGGGTTTGCATTTACTTCCTCCCAAACTGTGAGCTGTTTACACTTACTTTTGTGCAGCACCTTTGCTAAAAATCCTCTTAGCATTCTGCTCTTACCCACTAGAATACATCCTGCTCCTCTGCAGCCTTTCGTTGGCTCACAAAGAAGTTGCAGACAGAGAAATACTATAAAGATAAGTCTGACTGACTTATTACAGTGGATTTACGTAGGGCACGAATTCAGTCTCAGTGATGCACTGACATCACTGGCCAATTAGTTAAATGCTGTCTGCAGTAATAATCCATATACAGAACAGCCCTAGATGGTGAAGCACATAGCCTGCATGCACCTAACTGAGAGCATGATTGTGGCCATGCGTCGAGGATATAGATGGGGAATGGATTGTGTAAACAGCAAGAAAAAGGCAGCTGAGAATAAAGAACTATCAGCTTAAATAATTTGAAGCCATTAGAGAAGAATGGGAATAAAGCTGGTAATCTCAGGAGGGGAGTTTGATTATAGTAACTGCTACAGGCATTTGCACTGGCAGTAAAGCGTCTGCATCCAGAGTCAACAACTACAGTCTTACATACATACAGTGGGCCTTTCCTTCCCACAGTGATACAAAACACAAACATTTTTCTGCTCAGGGGTATGCAGTGCTTCTGTTCCTGTCCTTTTCTCTCTTGTCCAGAGTATCACATCACTCCCACGTTCTCTCTTACACTTTTACTCACTGCCTTTTACTGATGCTATCAGATGTACAGACATGCACATTGTCCCCTCCGTACACACACATCTCCCATCACGTTTTCCCACTAATACGTTTTCATTTGGAAATGCTCACTAGCTCTCATATGTGATTTCAAACTTAGTGCTTCTGGACACGTTTTACTGTGAGCCCATGTTTGGAAAAGATGTTTTCAAAAGCACAAATAAGATCCTGGAAATAGATTAAGCACAGGCCCGGATCACTGTGCAGATACATGCAGGACAAGCTTGAGGAGCTAAGGGAATGATCTGTGTATTTTAGGAAGATGTGTTGGGAACAGTGGAGAGATGAGGAATGTGTAAAGGGTCACAGTGCTGACCTGTCCTTCGGGATGTCGTCCGCATTGACTGGAAGATAAACACTGTATGGAATGGAAACATACCCTTCCATCGGTGTCCCCAAAGAGTACGTCTTCCTCCATGAGTCAGTGAGGGCCTGGGGACACCCAGCCATGAGCTATTTTGGAGACAGTGACTTCAGCAAGTGGCAGGGGAAGCTATTGTGGAAATAAGAATGTGTTTTCCATTGGGGAGTCCTCCAGGGAAGGACAGAAAGATCCTGGTGCTGAGCCAACTCCCCTGGTTGTTTTTTTTTTCATCCCTCTGGGAGCGAAAGCCTTGTAAGATATGCAAGGAGCCCTGCTTACCGAATGGGAGCGCGTTTGGTTTGTGAACCTGTGTGGATTTATACATATCACATAGATATGGAAACGGGGTTTAAGCAAGAAGGAATCAACTGCTCAGGACCATAACGGTGTCCTTCCTAACATGCCGGCCAACCATGTTTGACTCGGTGTGCCCTGCCCTTCCAATATTCCTACCTGTCAGGTGGAGACAGCAGAACTCACCCATGTTTTAGGTCTCGTGTTAGCACAGCACTCAGTGTCAAGAGGCGATGTGAGCTGGAGACGAGGAACAGATGGATTTCATCTTACGCTGCAGCTCTGCTCTGAGTTAGAGCGTGACGGTGCCACTGGCACCAGCGTGGCACCAGGGATGCACTCGGGCAGTTCCTCCCGTGTTCTGGTATCAACAAAATCTACTTCTTTCAAGAGGTTCCAAAAGGAACCTGGAAATAGCAATTCCCAACCAACCAACCCGTGTCAGGGCTAGGCAGAGTGCATCTCAGCAGGAATAATGCCACTGGTGTCACAGGAGTAATGCTGGGAGCTGGTGCCAGGCTGAAGGCGTGGAGCTTCGTGTGGGGGAGAATAGCAGTTTAGAGCACCAAACAGCTTAGAAAAAACGTGCAAGGTAACTGCTGATATGGGAAGATTTACTGGCCATAGTACACGGTTAATTACATTCATAATAAAAAGATTCCTATACTTATCTTGGGAATATAGACAGCTTTATGTATTTACCTTGGGTTTTGTAGCCATAGTTAAGAAATGGCTGGAAGTCCTCAGATGAGATTCACTGCATGAATGTGAAGTAATTGAAATTTGGGAGTGTGTTATTAAAATATTTCAGGTGACTGATACGCAGGATATTGTAAGATCTTTGCTTGGATTGCAGTACTTCAATACTTTGTTGCTTTTTGTGCCACTTTTAGAAAAAAAGTGGAATTTTCCCTTTTTTTTCTTTTTTTTAATAGAGCATACTTAGATGTCAATGAACTGAAGAACATCCTCAAACTGGATGGATCCACACACCTCAACATCTTCTTTGCCAACTCCTCTGAGGAAGAGCTGGCTGGAGTGGCAACTTGGCCCTGGGACAAGGAGGCCTTGATGCATCTAGGTGAGTGATAAAGATGTTTCTCTTTTGTAAAGCATTCTTTTGAGGCGCTAAGAAGGCAAGACAAATATGCACTAAGCTCTGGTCTGATTTCTTATCATTCCTCTAACATATAGTCAGGGGAAAAAAAGTATTTCATGATTCCCAGATACTGGCTCACAACCAGGAAAATATTAGGTTATAAACCCAAAGCATATTATGGTATTTGTAGATGATGTCAATCTGAAAGTATTTCACCTTTTAAGTGAAGCTACTTTACAGGGCATTTGCTCCATGAGAGCACTTTGCAAAGAGGGCTGGGGGAGATAGGTGAGGGAATGCTAGACAGACATGAATGTTTAACCTTAACCTGTTACGTTATGATCCCAAGTTCGTTACTAAGCGAGCATCCAATTAATTTTCTTCACAGATGACATTTTGTTGCTTTTTTTTTCCACCACCGTGCAAAAGAACAAACTGCCGAGAGATTGTATTTCTGATGTTTGTTTGAGTGGAACGGGGAAGAGTTTGCTGCCCTGCAGATGGGCCTGCACACTTTGTAGCAGATACTTTCTCCAGCCTGGCCAGGCCTCCCTAGGCAGATGAAGCCCAATTTCAGCCATGTTCATTCAGCCTTTATAGAGGCTGCTTCAGTCATCTTTTGTTTTCATTATCTAAGCCCACAGTGAGCAAAACAAAGATGGGCAACATAAAGCCCAGAAGAAGACAGCAAATACGGTTTTTATTACTCTGAAGCATACTAAACATACATCCAATAAGAGCTGAACTACAACTTCACTGTACTCAGAACTGCATTACTTCAGACACTGATGTTAACACTTATCTGTAGTGACCCATCTCTGTGACTGAGAGGGACCGTGGTCAGAGCAAGCAGCAGGAGCTGGCTGCCCTACTGCAATTGCCAGTGTTTCACTATGACATCCAGCTCTGCAGCTGCTCGGAAGCAGTGTGAGTGTTCCTCCCCACGAACCAGCACTGACACACATCCAGACATCACCTCCTTCTGAGCAAGGCTGGAAGTGAAGCCACTTCCACTGACTTGCCTCCAGCCCTATCTCTGTGGGCTCTGGCTGGGAGCACCCAAAACAGAGGGAGATGGGAATGTCTGCTGGTGAGCCTTCCCCCCGGCTACATCTTTTGGCAAAAACAAAGAAATTGTTAACCCCCAGGCTCCACCGTTCCCCATGCTGCTGAGATTTCTCTTTTTGCAGTACTACAATCCCATAGTCCTTCATCAGCCCGCAGCAGTTCTGTTTGATGTTAGGAAACACCACCCCTAATGTTACTGCTGGAGTGAAATAAGGCTGGCGTAGATCTGCCCCTAAATGAGTATTTTCATAGTTTCCCTTGGTGTTGCCATGGGAGGGAGCAGAGAACAGGGAAAGAGCTCCAGAAGGCAGAGAAGAACCTTCTGCAAGAGGGCTGGGGCTTGCCCAAAGCCCTGATGGGTTCCTCTGTCACTTCATTAAGCTAATTGCTAACATCATGCCTGAGCAAAACAATTTAAATGCAGCTCCTACAGTGTATTGGCAGAATCCATTGACGAAAAAAGAGATCATACCAAAAAGAAAAAGAAAGAAAGGAAGACATAGCCAACAGTTTAAAGTTAACTTGCAGTGGAAAAAAAGTAAAAATAAATAAATAATGGCCATAATTTCCTGTCATAATAGCCCTCCCAGACCTGTGCTTGGTCTGTAAGAATTCATCTTTAATCTTTTTTACTCTCTTCTATAAATCCAATATGTACTTAATAAAAAATATGAAATATGTCCTGTGGTGCAGATCTAAAGGCTGGGATAGAGATTGTCTGGGTGCAGGAGTTTATCTTTTCTGTAAAACTGCAATTGATTTAGATTCTTGACAGCTGTGAAAAATATAAATTTTCAACAAAGGCAAAAATAAAATCTCCCTCTCCAGCTGCCTCAGGGCTGCCCAATGCCAGAACCATTTGGCCAGCCTCTATTATGAAGGCTGGGGAATTTCACCAATACTCCCACCATTTAAAAACAAGCTCTGGAAGTACCTTTGAGAAAGAGAACAACCAAACAACGTGCCAAGATTCCTTCTGAGTGTGAATGGATCCAGCTAAGTGGAACCCAAGCACTGGAGGGATCAGAATATGTGTTGTATAAAGGGGGAGAGAAGGATGCCAGGAGCACGGTGATGGCAGTAGCTGCGTACTTCTGTGCACACCAGGCTTGTGGAGAACTAGCGTAAGGACCAGCTCAGGGTTGTGGAAGGGATGTGCAGACTCTGAACATGCCATAATAGGCATGATGTTGCAGTATGATGCATTTTATTCGCTCTTTAGTGTTTATACTTAACTTTGCTATTGAGTTATTTGTGCTAAATATGTATTTATGCATGCACATGTAGCTCCACTGTGTGCATACATTCACATCTGCCAATGCACAAAGTGAAAGTCTTTTTTTCTCTCTCTATTTGTGCATATACCTTTGCAAGACAAATAAAGTGGTCCTCCTTCTCTTCAACACTGATACCACGAAAGCTGGAGCACTGCATTGTATCTGGGCACTGTATTTGGAGGAAAACGTGAGACAACTGGGTAAACAAAAGAATGGTCAGGGAGGTCTAGAAGAAGAATTGAGCTGCATGGGAATGTTGAATGGATTATGGCTATTCATACTAAAGGAAAAAAGCCTGAAGTTGGGATGATAGTAATTGCATAAAAGCTGATGAAAGGAGAGGAGAATCTTCTGTTCCTTGAGTCTGTATGAGGCAGGACTTCAAGTAATGAACTTAAATTGCCAAAAAAATCAGTTCAGATTAGGTGTGAGTTAAATCCTTGCAGCCATGATGATTGCTGAAGTTGATTGCCAGGGTGGTCACATCATTGGAGTTGTAAGGAGACATCAGTCCTATGGGTGTGAGGGATGGTATGGATGTAACTGGTCCCATGTTGTTCTGAGAACTTTTTGAGATCTTCTCAGTCTTATTTCCCTGTAATTCCATGGTGTTACAGCAAAAGTCTCCAAGCAGATGAGAATGAACAGCTTATGGTGCATCAGAAACCTGGTGACCTCATCTTCCCTATGCTGCAGTCACTGATAAAACTCCTCCTGTCAAAGTCTGTTCCCTCCTTATTGTCACTGATTTATTAGTGTAACATATCCAAGATTTATTTTCCCACTATTACTTTTTCAAAGCGAACTCCCATTCTCATGGAAGGTAATATATACAAAGAGTTTTAAATAAAAGGCTTGGAAAAGTTGAGGTCAACAAGCTAAATAAAGAAAATTTGATGCATGTCATAAATCCAAAGGTACATCTAGCTGAGCTAAAAATATAATGCTTATGATTAATTCAATAAATTGTCAAGCCTCACAAATTTACTATTTGCTCATCTACCCACCCCATAATTCACACAACAACAACAAAATCACCACTGCTTCTCTTTGCACATGTTTAACAGCCACGCAGTTCTTTCAGAATTATCACGTTCCAGGATTTAAAATTTTTTTCACACATTAGACTTATGCATATTCATCAGTGGACTGTGTGGCTCCGACCAAACGAGGCTCATCTGAGTATCTGAGCAGTGTATGTCTCACTGTTACTGCAAAACTGTCTACGGGATCAGAGCACACCCCACAGATACCTCCCTCTTTCCAGCAGTGAGCGCATTCCACTTTCTTCACCCAGCTATTAGTTTGCAAATATCAGTGCAACCTACTGCAATTTTTAGTGTGTTTAGCTGTGTTATATTTTTACCCTGTGGAATAATGAACTGAGGGCTCCAGGTATGTTTTGTTTGACTCCTGGTGTGAAATTCATTGCTTATGCTTGTCTGGGCAAAATCATTCCTTCTAAGCACATGAAATGATCTGAAATTGCACAGTATGAGATAATTGCATGTAGGATGTTTTTTCTGAGCTAAAAACACACAAACCAAATTAAGCATATTCAGTGGAAAGACCAGTTGTCACTGTGGCTTTGGTGCTGTGGGACTTTGTCCCATGGTTTCTCAACCTTAGGAGTCCCACATCACGGTGAGCTTAGACCATGCTGTGCGTGTGATGTGTCCAGCTGTGCAAAGTCAGTCTGCGTTATGGAGGATCCAACGAACAGCTGCTGGATCTTTCTCTCGCTGTTCTGAGGAAGGCAGATAAACGTAGAAGCTCTTTTCTTTTCCCCTTGCAGGTGGCATTGTGCTGAATCCTTCCTTCTACGGCATTCCTGGCCACACGCACACAATGATCCACGAAATTGGGCACAGCCTGGGGCTCTACCACGTCTTCCGGGGGATCTCAGAGATCCTGTCCTGCAGTGATCCATGCATGGAAACAGAGCCCTCCTTCGAGACCGGGGACCTCTGCAGAGACACCAACCCTGCTCCTAAGCACAAGCAGTGTGGGGATCCCGGACCTGGCAATGACACGTGTGGCTTTCACAGTTTCTTAAACACACCGTTCAGTAACTTCATGAGCTATGCAGGTACCTGGGCTTCCTTGGTTTGTTGCTGGGGTCTGTGGTTGGCTGGGAGTAGAGAGCAGCAAGGTTATCTCTGATTTCTGCAGTGCATTTCACATGGGGCTTTATGCTGGTTGCATCGTGTCTAGATTTAGACCTGACAGTTCTAGGGCCAATCTTGATGGAGACTAAATTCGATGGCCTCAAGAATTCCTTCCACATCTCCTGTTTTTCCCAAATTTCCCAAACTGTACATAGTTTTGTGTGGTGATTGGGTAGGTCATCACATGGGGGAGGAAAGAAACGAGTCGAGCATTAAAAAAACAGCACCTAAAAGCTCTTCAGCAAATCTGACACTCTATTTGACTGAGAGCTGGATGTCTGATCTAGGAATTCTTCTCTGAAAAACTCAAGTTCAGAGATTGTTTACACTCTCTCCAGGAGATAGCAAATGTCAGATGAATATTGACACCACCAAAGCTGTGGGATGTAGCTGTGATAGGCATCTAATGAGGCACGGCTCACGCCTCTGTGCAGCCGTTCAAATATCATGTTTGCTGTTTGATTTAGACTCTGCCTTTCAGCTACAGTCATTCCCATCAGCAGCTGCATGTGAATGCTCAGGTAGCACCTGGATCAGGAGTGTTCCTGTGGTCAGGGGCTCTCGGCACATTGTGCTGCTTTGTGCTGGGAGTGCCGCTTCTTGATCCGCTCCTGGAAGTTCAAGGGGAGGTGAAGGATGCTCTGTTGTTCCTCAGAAGGAGCAGAGGATGCCTGGGCTTGCGTTTTCTTATTTCAGGCCTTGGGGTCTAGCAGTGCTGAAGGTCTGTGGCAGCACGTTAGCAGCATCCACAGCACTTCAAAGATGACCAATACAAGCAGAGGCACTGAAGGGCACCTTAACAGTACAGGCAGAAACACAGATCGCCCACTCCAAAGGTTATAAGAGTGCTTGTTCTGTAATAAAACTGTAGGAAAGCAAAATGTTTAATGTCATCTGGTGCATGGACTGAAATGATTTATAACATAAATGCTTTCATGCCCTTCGTGGCACTAGCTAAAAGTGGTGCTTAGTTTCCTCTTTATTTTTCTATTCATTTAGAGGGTGTTTTCAGGGGCAACATACAAGCAGTGAGTCAGGTCCTAAATGTTGTTATGCATTTCTGTACATGTGGTAAGGCAGAAAGCCTTTATATCTCAAGCAATCTTCTATCTGTTCCACGCAAATAAGTCAGTAACACTTTGGATTTACAAAATCCCTCCGCCAAATCTGCTCGTGGGTACACGAAGAGGGGTGATGAATGCATGTTTCAAAACCCTGAGGTCTCATCTTCTGAAGAGAACTTGCACTGCCAGCCGTGTCAAGAGATGAGACAGAGCACAGCGATATCTATCTGCTGTTGGGAGCTACGTGTGTGCTGGTGTTCTGAGCAGAACCCTTTTTTTTTCCTTGAAAAATTAAGTGAAGCGACATGATAGGTATCTCTAGAGCTCATGCATGAATCTGTTTGCTTTTCTGTTGTTGCCAGCGGAATAAAAATCATATCAGGATATTAAATCACTGTGGAAATACCTTTGAAACATGTTGGTTGAGGTCACGCAGCCCTAAACATTGCCTTGCCTTTTTCTCTTGCTGCCTGCATGCAATTGTATCACATAGTGCTTGTCTATCTATCATCTATCTGTCCAGTCACTCCAACTTTTTAGTGAAGCAGCAAACAAAACTTGACTTCTCATCCCCCAAAACACCAACTTACAAAATCTAGAACATCAAGAAGTGTGAGGAATGCTTTTATTATTTTAAACATCCAACTAGCTGTGGTGCTCCTAGGTAAAAATATAGGTTAATCTTTTAGACCACTCTCCACAAAGTCAGCGGGAATTCTACCTCTGAATTCTGTTGGAATAATCATCCCAGCAAAGTGCCTTCTGAATTCTGAAAGAACTGCGTGCAAAGTGCATTGAATTTCTCTAATTATAATTATATTTGAGGCTCTTCAGCCCTTCTTGAAATTGAGTGATCAAGTGAAACATCTCTGCCCTCGCCTTCTCCCTCCCCCAGGACACAGCCTGTGCTGCTGTTTAAACAGATTGAAAATGCAGGTCATCTTTCTCCTGTGCCATTGTCTCACTGCTTTGTCCTATATATGTTTTATTGTTCCTTTATGATGGCTATTAAGGGCCTTTTGTCTCCTTCTGGGCTTCCGTGAAGAGTATTTATGGCTTTTACAGCATGCTCAGGGATAGACCATGGGCAGTTATTGAGGATATGTAGAGATGTCATATTAAAGCTGCTTTTTGCATAACCACGGGGATTTGTGGAGGCTCTCAGGCTGGTGATGCCTGTCAGCCTGCTGTGCCTGTCTGGGCAGGGGAGGGTCCCTGTATCAGGAGGGAGAGATGAGGATGTGTAATCGGAGGTGTCCTGATGGGACCAGAAGCAGCAGGGCTGCACTTGGGTCTGGAGTCTGAGCAGGGATCCCAACCAGAGCCGACTCCTTTTCCTTGTGGTTCAGGGAAGATGCGGTAAGGTTTTAATTTAGCCACCAGATTCACACTTCTCTTCAGAACACATTCATATTCTGTGAGTTTCGCAGGGCACGGACTCGAAGACACGAGAGCATCTCGTAATGCTGTTACAATATCAAACTGCCAACTTGCGTGCACGCAGGCGATGCTCCAAACAGCCTTTGGTGACCTGCATCTTCTCCAAGAAGTGTATTACGTGACCTGTGCAAAACTGTCATTGTTTGTATTGTGGCAGCATGCAGAGGTCCCATCTGGGCCTGAGATTTACTGGGCTGGGAGCTCTGCAGTCATACGTGAAGAAACACTCAGGGCTTTCAAGAGCTATTCATGTGATGAGAAGAGTGGCAGGAAAACGGTTGAAGTGCCAGCACCAAGGTCTTCAGCACAGCTTTTCTGGGTGTTTGCACAATGCAGTTACTCTTTCTGTGATCTGCCCAATGGAGGATTGGTAATTTTCTGCTTCTCCAGGGCATTGCAGTTGTTAAACTGTACGATGTTCAGATAGTACCAGGCGTGTTCTTGTTGCCAAATCGTGTTTGTGAAATGCAGATGAAATAAGACATGAGAAATGGGTATTTATGGGAAATTATCCAGCAAATTATTTCTCCATGCTGAATGAAAAAGATACTTGACATATCAAAAATGTTTCTGAAAAGTTCAGAGAGATGAGAATCTTACTGATGGGGGAAGGTTGTGGTACAAATAAAGCTATTCTGCTGCCCCAAAAATATCCATTTTTAATCAGTATAAACTACTTTTTAAAGCTGGTCTTTCAGAACGTTTTCCTTTGCTCATTAGAAAATATAAGAACTTGTAAAAGCTATTCAACTATTTTTTAAATTTGGATTTCTTTAAATTAAGAAAACTGTCACGCTGCATTGCACACAGTTTACATAGCTGCCAGTCAGTGCTTTATCCTAACTTGCTATCCTTTGTCCTCCTGTATCCTCTCGGTGATGTTTTCCCAGGCACAAAGTTCTTCCAAATCCAGTGGTGCTGCACGGTGCCTTCACCTCCGCCCTGGTCCTGGGATGGCCTCTGGGTGCTTCACGCATATCCCAGTTCAGAGGGATGGAACGTGTATTTATTTATTTGTTTCCCCCATTTACCTTTTTTCCTTCCACCCACCTCCACAAGTGGTGTCTGCGTTAATTTCTTCGCAGACCATTAACTTCTGAGGGCTGTGAGATCCCATCCTGTGCCATGCAAGAGCTCCCCTTCACCAGCTTGTAATCCTCCCACTGTCAGTCCCATGCAGCTGATGTGGTTCCTGCTTCTGTTTCAGACGATGACTGCACCGACTCCTTCACACCCAACCAAGTGGCCAGGATGCACTGCTACTTGGACCTGGTCTATCAGAGCTGGCAGCCAGCAAAGAAACCGGCTCCTGTCGCCATCGCCCCCCAGATCGTGGCTCGGACCCCCACCTCTGTCACCCTGGAGTGGTTTCCACCCATCGATGGGCACTTCTTTGAAAGGTGACCACGCGCTGCTCGGTTCTCTTGTGCTCACTTGGGTGGGCAGGGGATCGGTAAGCAGCCTCAACATGAGCTGCACTCAGCCTGGGCTGAGGCTCCTTCCTAAATTGGTTCGTATTGAGGGGATTATTGATCTGTTTTCTGCTCTTCCCTCCTCAGCCTGTAGCACTCTGTTGAGAGTCATTGATTTGCCATATAAAGGGCAAATCTTTTTCCGTATGCCACGGGAGGAATTTTCAATCAGCAGTTCTGGCTTTGTGATTCCTGCTTATTGCTGCTCACAAATACCTGTTGGCTCCAGCTCTGCCCACACATTCCCCCTCCTATTGCATGTTTCCTTTGCAAGGTCATGGGGAATCTTGTTCCTCCCCCCGTGGCAGCACAGGGCTCGTGGGCAGTGGTGGTTCCCAAGGGGAGGAGGTGGCAGCACCCGGCACAGAGCTTGGATGGGCTGCAGGAGAACTTCCTTAATAACTGACCTCACATTGTCATTAGCTCATGTCTGTGCTTGCATTTCCTCTCCCCTTCTTGCTTTAATACTTTACAGAAAACAAACTTTGAGTGTCCTTCAGGACTGGAGCAGTATGTATTGCAGGAGGCTAAATTTACAGGCATATTAGCACCCAAAGAGCTGCCTCAGCACTGCTTTGTTCAGTGAGAGCACCTTGAAAGCCACCGTCTTCAGCATGGAAGAAACTCCTTCCAGCACTGTAAGGACAGTGTGGCCATTTCAGTGTCCAGCTTGCACTTAATTTGAGTGCTCAGAGATGTTCCCTTTTTATTGCAGGTTAATATGGGGAAGAGGGGAATCAAATTATATTAGAAGTTGATGAAGAAAGACAGGACTCGTGCTGTTTTAATTTCAGTTTTGCAACTGAATCCATTTATTCCCTACGTGTGAAAAGGACTTATGTGAAGTTTTGAGAATTAATTTGGAATTTTTTGGCCCATAATCGTTTTTAGGTAAATTAAGTTTCTCCAATTTAATTTAGATTTCAGAAGATACTGTCTGTGCGTTAAATAAATACCATCTGCCTCTTAAAACACACTGGTACAGAGTTAATTGTTATGTAACCAAATATGCCTTTATTACATATTTCTTATAACTCGATCAATATGTTCTTAATAACTCTTAGTTAGTTGCTTCTTAAATGACATACAGTGAATCGCTTGCTAAATCTAAAATTTCATAACAGAGTTATGTTAAATAGTGATTTCTAGAAAAAATATCCTTTGGGTTTTGAAATGTGTGCGCCCCGTTTTAGTGAGGAGATTTAAAGAGGCAGTTGCAAATGCAAACACAAGGCCAGTTCCATTCTGAAAGGAGATTCCCACTTCTAATGAATGTGGAGATGTTGCTGTGACTGTTTTAAAACTTGACTGACATGGATCAGTGAGCCTAGATAGATCAATAGGCAGAGCATGTATAGATACAGTAGGTCAGTGAGCATGCCTATGGCAGCCCATACTCCTGATGTGTTAATCAAAACAAGTTTGATAGTAGTGTTGTGGGGACAAACTTTGGAAGCTTTCAGTGCCCATGTGTCCAGCACTGCTTTCTTAGGGATGCTTGCCTCTGTCAGCTCCTAAAATGAGGTCACTGTGCAAGACGTGTAGGAGGTAAAATTGGCCAAGTATAATCTTATCTGTGTGTGGGAATACTGTAAATCTTTGCAGATATTTTTACACAAAGTGCAGACCATGGCCCACATTTTACTTGCCTCACTTGAATGAATAAACTCATTCACTTCAATGGCACTATTCATGTAAAAAACAGAAGACTGATACTCAACTGCTGAGTGCCTTGAGCCTGGTTTCTAATGCACGGAGGCCCCTTCCATGCTGTTTTGACAGTGTAAAAAGGCCTTAAAAGGATGAATGGTTCTGGCTACATTAGCAAGCATTGTGGCTCAATATAATTAGATCTCTAGTGCAAAACATTTGTTAATGAAGACCTGCCATTGGCACTGCAGGGGTGTCGGGGCGCTTGCTGCAGGCTGGTGCATGGCTGGGACGTTGGTGGTGCTGGGGCACATCAGTGTGGTCCTGAGGCACAGCTTCCTCTCTGTCTGCAGGCTCTTCCCTGCTCAGATGCAACTGATGTGTCACAGGTGCTGCAGCTTTTGGTGCTTTTCTCTCAATGCCTTGGTTCTAGAAATTGCTTGGTTAGTGCTGTGAGTCTGAGCACAGAGTGCAGTGCTGACTCACTGTTGTGGATGTGTGGTGGCTCCCATGTCACAGAATCACAGAATCATTAAGTTGGAAAAGACCACTGAGGCCATCTAGTCCATCCAGCCAGCCATGTCTTCACACCTTGGCGAGTGTAGCTGCACAAGCTGAGCAGAAATTGAAGTCTTTCTGACAGACCCTCCTCACCTCCGTACTGTAAGCCATTGATGGACACTGTGTTACTCCATAGAGTCATTTACCTGCACATAAATTTGCCCATACGTGTTTGGCCCTAAACTCTAGCAGCTAGTTGAGCTTCTGGCCATCTCTAATTACCAAATATATAAGAACCCAGCATTTCTTCTTGCAGCTGCTATACATGGGGTTGCAATACTTGTCCTTCTCCATGTTACTTCAAAAACAAACAAACAAACAAACAACCATGAGAATGTGGCATGCGCATATAATAATGTCTAATAATAAAATAATAACAGAGCCAACAAAACAAGGGAAAACAAGCGAGAAGAAGAAAACTCTATTCATTTCCTGACTGCATCTATGAGATGCCTTCATCTGCTGTCGCTAAGCATCCATTCATGCTCCTCCTGTTTGATATGCGGAGGCGGGATGTAAACAGTTATTGTCACAGAGCTCTGCAGCTAATTCTGCTTGGACAGAAAACTTTGAACGCCTCTGCTCCTCCAAGTTTTCATTGAGGTGACTGTATTAATTTCCATGCATCTGATGCTATCTCATTCTTAGCAAGTGAATATCTTGGCCAGTATGGTTCCCAGGTCTAGATGGCTGGGCTTGATAACTGCTTGCTTGAATCTTGCTGGAAAGTTTCGGTGACATCAGTGATACAAATTCCAATCAGGTTTTATACCAAGCAGGTATAATTTAGACTGGAAACAGGCATTTATTACCAAAAGGAAAGACAGATTTTTACTGGTTTTGGGTTGCCCCTAAACTGATGCCAGTACTGATGAGAATTGGTTTTCACTGGTATTCTTTATGTTTTGAATCCACTTTGCTGGGATATCATGCTGTAGGAATGAATCCCTCCTGTGCTCTAAACCTCACGAGTTGGAATTTCCCCAGTACTTGCCTTATTAGAGAACAGCAAAGTCCAGATTGTTCACTACCCTTTGCTTTCAGGAATCATGTGCCTGGTGTAGAAGGTGTCAGATATGCTATCATTCCTATTTAATGATGTTTTGAACCATTTTATGCTCATTTGGTCTTGATGTCATAGGCTTTGTAAGGTGTAAGGGTCTGGCTTAGATTTTCGTAAGCCTGTATATGCAATTCTGTAATTAGTTTTGACATCCGTAGCTGTTTGCAGGATTTATGCTCAAGAAGCTGCAGATGAAAATCTTCAACCTAGGAGTCATCCCCTGTGTAACTCCTTTCAGCCAGTGCAGTTACATCAGGGTTGAGTTTGGCTCCCAAACTGGAAAAGTAAAAAGAGAAATTTTGCTCATAGCCTTTGCCACATGATGCTCCTTGTGATTCCTCCTACCTCCAAATCCTTGCTGGTAAAAGGAAATGTTTGTCCATAAGCCTACAGTTTTTTTCCACCATGGCAGCCTGTGATGAAATTGTATAGCTGCTAATTTGAGTAGAAAGCAGTCCTAATTGTGGAAAGTTGGCTTTCAATTCTCTGTCCTCATCCAGGACTGAACAGTAATGCAGGAGTTTCTTTGTAGAGAAACTGAAAGATTATTATTGCAGGGATTTCTCTCCACTGTTGGTGGATGTGTCTGAAAAAAAAATATATATATACCACAACAAAAAACCTGCACAGTAGTGATTACGTGTTTTTATTTCTCAATCCCATTTTTTCCAGATTCTTCATTTTTTTTTAAACATATATTATTTGGGCAAGCTGAATTAGGCACTTAAACCATTGCTGAGCAGCCAATTGCGAGATGAAATTAGCAGGTAGTATCATAACAAGAATACAAGTGGGTGAAGAGAGACAGAAAAAGTGGAGACGTGATTCGCAGTGTGCCCAAATGGATTCGGTATGTCTGGTACAGAGCATGCGGGGAAGGGGAGAGCACCTTTGCTTCCTATTTCTCTGCTCTTCCCCATTGCCACACTTTATTTTTCAAGCGTTTCCAGCAGGTGCATCCCTCCCCATGATGAGCTCGGTCATTTGCTGTCTCTTGGCAGGGTGGCAGTGGGCCATACTGAAATGGATACGAGTTTTGCTACTGATTTCATTCCAAGTCCCCCCCGTTGACAATCCCTGCTTCCGCCTAATTAAGCCAGCAGAAAGCCGACTTTCACACAGATCCCTGTCAACAAATAGGAGATGCTAAGCCAGAGAGCAGCTGAGCGAGAGTTGTCCCTGGTGCCAAATGGAAACAGGGACAGCCTAGGAGAGCAGCTCCCCTGTCCCAGGGTCCTCTTCTGCCCATGGGTCACAACATGCTTTGCAAAGTGTGCTGAAATAAATCTCACTATGGGAGATGGTTGAAATTTGCATTTCTGATGGTAATAATTGATGGCTTAATCTGCACTTGGGGCATTTGGAGAGTGCACAGTATTGCTCGCCTGAAGTTTCTGTCCTTTCCTAAGTGCTTTCCTTCACTTAAGATCAAGAATTCTTTATTCCATTTTGGGTGGCATCATTCCTTAAAGCAGAACAGTGAATTGTGAATAATGAACAAGTTTAGGGGATCAATAACCACACATTCTGGGTCGTACGTTGTTCCAAATCGTGTGACTACAAAGAATGCTAGGGATGAACCGTGTGAGCCACATCCTCTGTTGATATAAATCAATTCAATGTTACAGAAGACATTAGAGCTACACCAGCTTAAACCCTCACCTTGTGAATGTGTTTGCACAAATGTTGGTGAAGCAGTGTTTAACTGGGTTTTCCTGTTTGGCAGTTTCTGCTGACAGTGCTGTAGTGGCAGTAGCTGGTGTTAGGCTTGTTGTCTAGGCGAAGCAATCTGGCACTGGGCAGCAGAGTGCCTTTCTCAGTGCCCTGTCCTGCCATCCCATGGCATGGGGCCAGGAGGGTTTCAGTTCAGAAAGAGCCATCTGCTGGTGCTGAGGATGCCAGGTACTGAATCCAGTTTCCCCCGTGGAAAGGACTGTGGGCATGTTCCTCGCTGTATAATCATGGCCTGCCCTGTTTCCAGACTTCTGGTGATCTGGGCAGTGATCCACTCCAAAAGCAGGTCCTTGCACATGGAACTGAGCCGTGCTTCTCCAAGCAGCTCTCTGATGTTTGTAGATCTGGGACTTAACTCTGTCTCTAATCAGTGGTAAGCCTAAGGCCTTTAAAGTCCTGAAGATGCTAGGAGTTCATGCAGTAAACCCATGATGGGAGTAGAAATTGGTCTGATATTTCCTGAGGCCCGTTTCTCTGCTCCAGCCTCTAAATAACACGGATTTTCTTTAGATGGATTTGTGAGGGCAAAAAAAAAACTCAACAACCTTACAGCTGAGAGTAGTTTCTAGGTTGCTATCATTTTGTATGGGATGGTGACTCACTCTGATGCCATCTTCACAGCCATTAGCACAAACCTGCCGAGCCACGGCCAGAAAACACTCTCATCCATGCTGTAAGAAAAGAGGATTAAGTGGCACTGAATTCCACATCTTACTGTTTTTAATATAGTTGAATAAGCTGCTCATTCAGCTGTTACTAAGGTGGTGTGTTTTCCTGTTTTCCTGGCCTCCTAGAGAAGTGGGATCAGCATGTGATCTGTGCGTGGAGGGAAGAGTCCTGGTGCAGTATGCCTTCAGCGCCTCGTCCCCGATGCCCTGCGATCCCTCGGGGCACTGGAGCCCACGGGAAGCAGAAGGTAAGCAAGGGGCTGGGGCAGAATTGTGGCATGGGGGAGGTCTGGCCGGAGCAAAAGGAGACCACAGAGCAGGTGGGGACCTCTGGGGAAGGGTGGCTGGTTGTACTTGAGAGTAGCAAGAAGAAAACGAGAGGATGGGTGGATGCCCTGTGTTCCTGAAGTAATACCCCCCGTGTTTTGGTCCCTGTGTCCTGACCCTGCCCATGAGTTCAGTGAATTTCGGGAGCTGAACTTGAACTTCAGAAAGCAGCAGAGTGCCAAGAAACACTGACCATTCACTTCTGCCAGATGAATTCCTCAAGGGAGCAGTTTAGTCCTTCTGCTCTGACTCCAAAAATGAAGAATTGCATGTTATTTCTTTGGGCTTGATTTCTGCTGCCTTCACTTATATTGAATTACTAACAGGCTGCACCAGCAGTCACACTGGAAGGAGCAGGGACTGCCTTTTGGGCAAGAACTCTGCAGGTGACTACATCATGTTCAGTCTAGTGCAGGGTGCTCTGCATGCTGTGCTTGTGGCTCCTCTAGAGCACATTGGAGGAAAAATGGTCTGCAGAGACAGATGTACAATACCATTAAGTTGCCATCATCAAATCTACCCCATAGAATCAAGAAGTTTGGAAAGACCACAAAGATCACCAAGTCCAACCATCAACACATCCCCACCATGCCCACTAAAGCATTTCCCTCAGTGCCACATCTATCCTTTTCCTGAGAGCACCTCCAGGGCTGGTGACCACCACCTCCCTGGGCAGCCTGTTCCAGTGCCTCACTGCTGTTTCTGAGAAGAAATTTTTCCTAATATCCAACCTGATTTTTCCTAATATCCGTACTTCCCATTGTGTACGTAGTTGGATGTAGTGGAGTGTTTCAATGTGATTATACCAGGCAGAGGTCAGTAATCACAGTTTACAGTTTGAGAAGAGCAGAATGTTAATTCAGTCTGTCCATCACAAGCTATTTCTTCAGGCACAGCACGCTCTGAGCCCAAACGTACAAGAGCTTCATTGAACACAAAGGTTCACATCTGGAATTTGCTAACTCTTAATACAGATGTTTTCTTATGTTAAGGGCTTCTCTGTCCTTCAGCTAGAATACATGGGAGTTAATCTACAAGGAAAATTATCTATTAGTTAATATGGGAATACATTTAATCTTGGCACCAAGAGTCCTGTTTACTCCTCAGGTCAGTGTGTGCAATGCATTGTTTCCCTGCTTTGTGATGGCACAAGATGTATAATCAAAGTGTTTCTTGCCCTGAATGCCCAGACCCCAGGTGGGGGCCCACTGGGGGCTGCAATTCATTCCAACCCAATAAAAATTTGGACATCCAGGGCCAAAGCTGCTGAGACCAACAGAGTGCACCTGCCCCTTGCATGGAGGTTGCAGAGGAGCCCCATCCTGGGAAGCAGTGCTCCAGCCACAGGTGTGACCTGATTGTCAAGTAAACAGAATTAGCAAAATTTGGATGGCTTGCAGTTGTAGTGCAGAGTGGAGGACTGAATTTCCACTCCGCCAACTCTTAGAAGACTTTGAAACCTGGTTTTGTTTGGAACAAAATCTGAAACTTTTGAATTTCTCCATGAAGGAAAATTAAAAACAAAAAGTGTTTGAGGCTGGCCAGAATGTTTTATTTAGCTTATGTAATTTCTCTTTCATGAACTTCAGTTCAATTATGACATTTGAAAGTGTCTCCTCTTAGTATATAATCTAGGGCAAAAGCAACTTTTAATATCAAAGTGAAAAGTGTTTGAAAGTACAAAAGCTAAATGAATTCTTCCAAAAATGTCAAAACACAATGTTCTATTATTGTTAGAACTTTCTTGCCATTTTCTTTTCCAGAGTAAAATTTTGGCCAAATAAATCCAATTTTGCGAAGTGTTTTGATTTTGAAAGAACTCTGTATTCCATTGAGATGCTCAGTTCCATCAAAATTTCTCCAACAAGCTCTGATTTGAAAACTTCTAGATCTCGCACGTCTTGCCAGCGGCATCATTCCTAGAGAAACTAAGCTTCTCTAAGATTTATTACTCAGCTGCATTTTGCATTTAATTTCCTCTTTGTACAGTGTGTTCCTGCATATTCTTAACTATGAAGGGTGAAGTCTGATCCTTATCTGTCTCATTCAATTGCTGTTTTGCCATTGCTCTGGAAAGAAAATTTGGGAATTCTATCTTTTTACTACATTAACAAGTTGTTTTTGCTTTAGGGTAGAAAATAGACCAAGTGTATGGTATTTGTTGCTCTCTAATTTTCTGTCATCTCTACCAGAGTCCCTGATGTTCAGGATTTCTATCTGTTTGCATTTGGTCTGAGTTACAGATAGCACAGTTAGGTCATTTTCTGTCATCTTCAATTGTCTATCTCTGGGTTCTCAAGCATGCAAGCATTAAATTCACTTTCTACAAATGTTCATATATGTAAATCTCCACTGGTTGAACATTTGTGGAAAGTGAGTACAAAAGAGCCGTAAGCTTGGCCAACATGAACTCATTTTAAAATCTGAGACGACACTCACGAAAAAGGACTTAAAGTACTCACAGAATCATGAAATCATTAAGGTTGGAAAAGACCATTGAAATCATCAAGTCCAACTGTTGACCACTAACCAACGTCCCATGTCATTACTCATCCAGCTTTGTACCAGCACATCACCTTTTTCAAGTGTCCCAGAAGCAGCTCTGGACCTGGTTGGTCTGACGGCGTTTTGCTGAGGTCCCATAGCACTGTTATGCTGCTCAGGTACTCGCATTGATCAGGACCACTTGTGAGCCATGACTAAAGGTTGCTTTGTCTTGATCAAATTGGAAAGGTCAGGGGTGAGTTTCTAGCTATGACAGCTCCTCTAGGGAGCTAGCAGGCTCCCTAGAGGCTGCTGGTCCCAACTCACCTCTCTGTACAAGTGCCTCACTTCTCTGTCTTCATGGCAGGACAATGAGGGGACGTGGGTCTCTGCTCCCACTTCATAATGAGGGCTTGCACCGACACACCAGGCTGAGCATATATATATTTTGAAACCTCCCTCCCCACCTCCCATCCCTGTATAACTGGAGATGGGACTTGCCACATCCTCACAAACCCCACATTCACATCTTACTTGTGTTTGGCCAGATGGGAGGCCATACAAAATGTCATCTGACGATTGATCTTGCTCATGTTCTCATAAGCTAAAGGGTTTTTAGAACCTGAGAACACAAGCATACGATGTCCAATCCATCATTTCTTTTTATATATAATTATTTGTAATTTTCATAGTATGCACCCGTGTCTGGAAACCTAGGTACATGGAGTACAGTTTTGATGCTGTTCCACAATTGAACAAACATTTCAATTCTGAGTGTCTATAATCTTTAAGAAAGGGACTATTTATTTCAACTTTTTTTGGTTTTTAATTTCAATTTTTTTTTATTTCAACTTCAGTACTTCATTTCAGTTTTCAGTCCATGCCAGACTATGGTCAAGCTTCCATTCTTGCCAGGCAGAGCTGTTCTTACTCAGTAGGCAGCAATGATCCACTTTCAGCTCCCTGCAGTGCACACTGAGTTTGACTTAGCTGAACACAGAGGGTCTCTTCCTGTTCTACCAAAGTATGTAGGTTTATTCTCTACTTAAGTCTTACAGAGATTTTGAACAGGCAGAGGTGAATTTGCAGGAACCCAAGGGGAGCAACATCAAGGCTGCGAGCCATTAATCCACTCCATTTTCCTATTGGCAAGATGCTAGCATTAATGCAACTCTTTCAAAGCACATGAGATACTGGGGTTAAAACTCTCCTTCTTCGGGCTGCAGTTAGAGGCTCACTGTGAATGTTGGAACACCATTTGTTGGCCAGCCAAGCACATGTGGATGGCAGCAAGCACTGTGGGATGATGTGGCTTGAGTGGGGTTCTCTCTGCTCACAGGGATTACACTCTTAGTCCTTGTGAGCTTGGCAGAAGGAACGTCTGAGGGTGTTCACTGGAATTCTGGCTTCCTGCATGGTGGATGGATGCTCTGGTCTGCCAGGTGCTGGGTTAGTGGCAGTGCTTTGTGCCATGTGAGGAGCAGGGGAGAGCTTAGGGGCAGAACATTGTGTTGGTTTTCTGAGAGGACTGCTGAGATACAGGGAAATCTTTCTGTGTCTGGATTCATTTGGTATGAACAGGAGAACTCCCTGGGCTGTGTATCTTTGGCAGAAAAGGCACATTTCTATCACTTCATTGGATCACAGACAGTAAGAATAACCTTCACACGTTGCCCTTTTCTCTTTAAATTAGCAGTGATGTCCTGTTTGTCTGTGTTTGCCCAGTGCTTTATCTCACTTTCTTCCTCAGTTGCCAACAGCTGTGCTCTCCCTCTCTCATTTTCTCTTTCCATCTGCATTTTTCTCCTCTTGTTACCTTTATCTTTTCTTTTTCCTCTCTTCTTTCCTGTACTTTGTCTTCTCTCTGTTCTGCTTGCTCCCTCTTTGTTTGATCATTTGGGAAGGAAGAGGGAATTTATAGCACTCACTGGATTCTGTTACCAACTGTTCCACCCATCTGACCTCTCTGGATCTTGCAGTCCACGATTCTGTGCCAAATTGTAATGTTACCATTGTATTTGGGATCCCAGCAAGCACTGTGGCTTTCATTAGTCCTTGGTAATACCTCCCATGAAGCTGAACATAGCCAGTGGTGAGACATGTAAAAGTGCCTGTTGTTTCATCATGACAAGTGCAGAGAGCCAACTCAAACCTGTGCTCAGTGTGCTTCCAAAAAAGGGATCTTACACAGTGTACAAGATGAGCCTGTAAAGACGTAGGAGTGAGCTGAGTATTTTGCTGCCCCACAGCACAATGTAATGACTTCATGGAACCAGCAGAAGCTCTTGCCTTTGTCTTTGCTGAAGACAAGAGGAAAATATGATATTTTAGATTACAGAGATGTAAGAGGAACACTAGAGTGAAATGAAAGCAAAGTGAGTCTGTTTATCAAATGAAGTACCAAGTGGAAAGGATAGAAAATATCACTGTTTGGCACTGTTTGGCACAGGGGAATGTACCACAAATAGGAAGTGTGGGACCAGGCACACTGTCATGGTGTGTGCTGTGTGGTGTCTGCTCCATCTGGGTGCTTTAGGTGGGTTTGTGTCTCACCCAGCCATGAGACACAGGCATTAAACTCCATTCCATGCTGGCCATGCCTGTTCTGCCCAGACAAGTAATGAGCTCCCTGTAGAGATATGTTTACCTGCCACCAGTTTCTCTTTCAGTGCTGTTGCCAATGATAAGCCATGTTCTCTGCTTTCTTTTATGCACTTTCTTTGTTTCATTCCTTCTTTCCAGGGCACCCTGACGTTGAACAGCCTTGTAAATCCAGCGTCCGGACGTGGAGCCCCAACTCAGCTGTCAACCAGCACACGGTGCCCCCCGCCTGCCCCGAGCCCCAGGGCTGCTACCTGCAGCTGGAGTTCCGCTACCCCCTGACTCCAGAGTCCCTCACAGTGTGGGTGACATTTGTTTCCCCTGACTGGGACTCCAGCGGAGCGGTGAATGACGTCAAGTTGCTCACTGTCAGTGGGAAGAACATCTCACTTGGGCCGCAGAATGTCTTCTGTGACATCCCTCTGACCATCAAACTGGACGCAGGACAGGTGGGCGACGAGGTGTACGGCATCCAGATCTACACTCTGGATGAGCACTTGGAAATTGATGCTGCCATGCTGAGCTCCATCCCCCACAGCACGCTGTGCACAGACTGCAAACCCATCCAATACAAAGTGGTTCGAGATCCTCCTTTCCAGTCCGGGTCTCCCGTTGTCATCTCGAACCTCAGCAGAAGATTCGTTGACATGTAAGTACTGCTTTGCAGAGACGCCTGCAGATTATAGCCTCTTCTCAACCTGCTGATGTCTGGTATTGCCGTTGGGCACTGGACTTTTAAACTAGGTAGATGTATCAGTTAGCACCAAGAGAGGATGTTCTCTTCCTTTCTGGAATTTAGGAGCATTACAGTCAGGGGAAATCACCTGCTGGTCATGCAGAAACATGAAATTCCATCTTCCTTTAAGCTGAAAGGATATTGCAAACTAGTTGAGCTTTGATAAGTTTAAGATAACCTGAGGGAGGACCTCAGCAGTATCATGGTCACCATTTCCTTAGAAATTTTTTCACAGTAGTATTTTGGTGAAGGAGGCAGCATTGCTTTCAGTGCCAGAGCATCGTAACTTCTAATTAGTTGCTAGAGAGAGAAGGCAGAAAGTAGAATTGCGTGTTCAGGTATGTAAATGTGTTTTCAGCTGCTTTCATTTTCTCCTTTCATGTGTCACTGACACAGGCTGTATTGCACAGTAAACACATCATACGTGCCAGTTTGTTGTAGGGAGTGAATTTCATCTTAGCTGCAGTTATGCTCATCTGTGAAGGAATGTATGATTGTTGAGGAAAGCTCAACTTCAAAATATTTAATGATTTCGAGGAGATCCATGATCTACCCACAGGCATTCTCCAGAAGCAAGAAAAACATCTTTTGCATAACACGATTCCCTGGAAGTGATTCACTCATCTGTGGGAACAACATGAAGCTCTTTTGAAAATGAACACCAGATAAAAGGAAACCTGCTAAGAAAACTGCACTCTAATTTAGAAAAGATGATCTAATTAGTACAGCTAATATCAAGGAAGCATACATCATTATGGTCTTCTGAAGCATGTTTAAATATAATAAAAATGATTAATTAACAATTCAGTAATCATGAGCTACCATCCCTTTCATGGTGCAATTATGCAGCTCAGAAGATGCAAATTGTCCCTATGGGTTTAAAAATTCAAGGTAGCTAACAATAGTGAATATAAAAGCAAACCCCTGAACCTCGTGCTGAAAGTTAAGCATGTGCAGAAACGCTTTATTGGGTTGTAGCCTTGTTCCAACAACTGCTGGCACTTCACAGGAGATGAATATTGGCATATTGGAAACGTGGAAAACTGGTGAATTTTCCCATGGTTTTGCTGTGAAAGCATCTTTGCCTGAAACCTGGCCCACTCACACTGGAAAATGGGACTGGTTTGGTTTGAAATATTTGCATACCTTAGCATAAGTTCCCACAGAAGCAGGTCCAGTTTTGAGTTCATAATAAAGCGTGAAAAAAAAAAGTCCAAAACATAACTTGTATTCTGACTGCTATTTCCGTGTCTTTTGGTGTAATTTTAGGGGTGACTTCTAGCCTGTAGCCATCTGAAGTGGGAAGGTGCTCTCGCTGTTCAGTCAGTAGCCAGGGAGTAATAACAATTTTCCTGTATGGCACTGAATAAATTACACTGCATAACACTGCTGTACCTGTCTGCATGTCTCACTTAGTTATAGAGTCAGCTGAAAACCAGGCAAAAAATAGAAGGTTGTCTTTCAGCAGTCAGGAGACAGAAGCAGCTGCTGGCAAAGGCTGGCACAGCCAACCAACCAAAGCCTTTCATCTGGCCAGCTGTGAGCAGAGAGTCCTCTGAGGGTCTGCAGTGGAAATCTAGTCAGTGAGCTTTGACTTGGCACTTGGAAAGCTAAAATGCAGCCTTTAGCCACTGGGTGAGGAGCAAAGATGCATATTGCTTAGCACTTGGAGATGTTTTTTTTTTTAACGCAGGGCTCTGGCATGTGTTTGAAATCTTGAAAAGTGATTTTTTCATGTCCTGATACTCACATGTGCATAGCACTGTTTCATACCCTCCGGAGCTGAGGGGTCCTGCAGCTTCACAGCAAAGAGAAGCCGCAGCCCTTGAGCCCTGTGAGCAGGAAGATGTCTCATAAAGTCCCGGGTAGCGGTGCTGGGCAGCACTCCATACGTACATGGAAGGTAAATGCAGTATCTCACCCCTTCCTCATCTGCGTGTCTCACTCTGTATGCAGCTGGAATTCAGCATATCTGCACAACCAGACACTGCAACCCCTTTATCTCTCTGTAAGCCCCCCAGTTCCCCCTCCTTTTTATGCTTTTGCATGTTTTCCGTATTAAATAAGATGACACCCCCACATGTTCTACGGAAGGTTATTTTGAAGGCAGTCGCCTGTCTTTACTCGTGCCTCCTCTGACCTTGATCTTCACTTTCTCTTTTTCTCCCAAAGAAAATATTTGCTTGCGCTGTTATCTGTGAGCAAGATCCTTTCCCCAGGTGTGGCGATGCTGAAAGAGAAATTAATTTCTCCTACCTTCTTCCCGTCAAAGAGAGGGAACTTCTCTTTAAGTCTTTAATGGATAGCCCTTGCCTAGTCAGCATTGGGTGCTCCACAACGGAGAGGAAATAACTACAGCAGTGGAAACCTTTTATTAAGAAATGCAAAATAATGCCAGACCTTCTGTTCTCAAGCTGAATTTTAATCTCAGCTCTTGGCTCAATTGTTTCTAAGGGACAGGACCTTATCCTTGGACCTCCCAGAAACAAGGCAAGATGCTCTTGCTTCCACCGAGTGCGATTGGCCAGAATTGCTGTAATCTGCAGTACAGAATGAGGCTCGGTGCCTAGGAAGAGAGCAGAAAGCTGAATAAATCAATGGGGAAAAAAAAGGTCGGGCCAGGTGCAGCGCAGAACTGCTGAGTCGTTGCGCCGCAGTCAGCGATAAGGGCAGAGCCACATCTGCAGATCTCAAAGTCTCAGCTCACGGTTTAATCCAAAGTTTGGGTTGTGCTCTTACTGTTTTGCTTTCGCTGTTCCCAGGGAATAACCCACGAGAGAGTGGGGATGGCGATGGCGGTAATTGTTTTGCCCTCGCTTTGGCCTTGCTGTAGCGCTTTTATGCTCACATGGATGCTCTTGCAATCGTCTGTGGCAGCCACTGATGTTTGTAAGAGTTCAGTGAGAGGAGTGCCCCCAGTGGAGGCTCTCCTGAGGATGTCAGGAGGCAGCTGGACACCAGCCCTTGGGGGGCACCATGGTGGGGAGCAGCCCATGTTCCCCACCGTGCTCCAGCTCTGAACTCACCTCTCCATCATGCCAAGCCAAGAGGTGCTGAGGTTAGTTCTGGAAAGTTGGAATAACTGGGAAAGTTTCTGCGAATTGGAATTCTTTCCAACTTTTCTGCCACGGACTTCATAGGAAACCTCAGAACATGGTGGACTGTGATGGAACAGGTCATCTTTGTAACCTTCTTCTTTGTTAACCTGTAGGATTTTTCATGACAAAGACACTGACTGAAATAGCCTTAGAAAGAATCCCAGCACAAAGCCCAGCTATGAGTTTTGATTTTGCAGAGTTGAACATCACTGAGCAGCAAGTATGCTTTCCTGTGATATCTCCATCTGAGTTATTCTCACACTGACTACTGCTTTAGTACCTAAGTGACGCCTAGAGATACTGCATTCATAATTCAAAATAAAAGAAAAAGAGACCAAGAGAGAAACCTGCATTTTCTCATATACAGAATATATTTTTCTTGTCACACTTAGCTTTTTTCCACCTATTTTCTAAGGCTACGCTTTTTCTGTTCCTTGGAAATAGAGGGGACTGGTTGTCATCTATTGTTTAAGCAAGTACAGTATTTTAAAATATTATGTTAGAGTCAGGAGTTCCATTCAGTGCTAAGCTTACAAGCTCAATTTCACTTGAAGTGTTTTAACTGAGCACCTAAGAGAGTGGGATCCAGATCTCAGTAGGGCTTCTTGACTGCAAAGGATTGAGGAATTACATCATTGAGACTGCAGGTATTTGGAGAGGTTGCTTTGGTGCTGTTCATGGTTTCCTGGCATTTTGCAGGCTGTATCTGAAAGAGTTTGTTTCAAAATGTGTGTTATCAATTGCGTTTGTGTTTGTTGGTATGCAGTCAGGAAGCCATGCATGTGATTTGTTAGAAACCCCTGATGATGTGGTGTTGAAGGAGATGGAAAACACTTCTTAGTCTGAATGCATATGAAATACATTGTAAACTCCTTCAAACATAGCAAGCAAAGAGGCTGGAAAATCAGCAGTGGCTGTTGGAGGTGAGCAGGACTCCTTTGGAAGGCTGCAGTTACACACAGCAGGCCCAGCTCAACAGGGCTCTGAAAAAATACAAATATCACAATGCTGATATGTAATATTAAGGCCCTGTTGAATGCAACACTAAAATTTCATGGCAACATCTGTCCTTGTTATGGCATTCCTTCCTTTGCATTCATCTTGAAGATCTATTTCTCTATTTTCTGAAGCTCTACCAGCCAGAGGAATGTATGATCTAAAGCAGCTGAAATGAATTGCCAGATCCATCTGTCATGAAGTTAATTAACACCATATTTCCACCCAAACAAGATACAGATCACTGGGTGGATGTTCTCCTGATACCAAAAGCTGAAGCCCATATTATCAACATCTTCTGCTCCCCCTCCCCCACAGTTGCCATGCCAAATCTCTCTTGATATGCCAGGAAATACTGAGGAGTATCTAAGATAGGACTGAAACGCTAAGAAAGCACTTTACATGCCCAGATTTATCTACAAAAGCTGCTAGGTTTTCTGTATGATATCGGCACGCTACACATCTAGATTCCTAACAAGCCTTAGAACTGTGTCTGGTGTTCCAGATGTCCTTGTGCAACAGCATGAATACTTACAGCAAGCCTAGAAACGCCTTGCCTCGATGTGTGCAAGGACCTCATGCACTTCTTTGTGAATCTTTCCCACTGATGGTTTATAGTTACCTTCCAACTGAATGAATGAAACCAATTACTTCTTGCCTTCTCATTTGCAGTGAAGAGCTCTGAGGTTATTCAGGATTTCTTGATCCTCTGTACCAACATAAGCATCATTTTGAGACACCCAGTCCCTGTAAATTGTTGATTCCTGCATTCTAACTCCATCCTTCTCTGCATTGACCTATATATATTGGTCTGTATAC